TATTGGCTACACCCCCAGAGCATTTATTTTTGGCTATCTGATATCGGGCCGCCTTTACCAATAGTTTCTTTGCTTAGCCATCCACAAAAATCTGAGTCCTATTCACTAATTCCACTCTTTTCTAGTGATCACCACTCAATGAACCAATATTTCTGTTCATCTTTACATACATATACACAGAAAGACTGATATTTTAAATAATGGAAAAGACAACATGTGGCATGAGAATATTGTAGATGTAGATGTAGTCTCCTACGCCACTACTGTCTATCTCTTGCTATGTTTTAAATGTTACTCACTGTTGAAAAACTTGCCATTTACATTTAAAATACCAGTAGAGTCACCTGTGGTGGACAGGTTTTGGTGGTGCTGTCAGAGTAACATAGGCTAGGAAGAAAGGCTGCTTATCTGCTACTGAAGATTAGTCAATGAAAGTTCTCTTAATTACAACAGAATATTGCCTAGTATAATACTGGAAGATGAGTCCCCTTGGTAAAAGATACTCAAAATACACAGTAGTCTCAACAATAGACTTAAGCGTTCCAAAGGTCATAAAGGCATCTGACTTTGTTGTAATCAGAGTGATAGTCTGGACTCATAACTTACAAAACACAGTTTCCTGCAACCAGAAACAGTGTTTTCTCTTTGTGTAGGTCAATCTGCTACAAAATTATGGGAGATTTGAAGCTGATCTTTCACACACCCTCTGCACTTGGATCCCTAGGTCCGTCTGAGCTATCTCCGCTCAGTTGTTGTTAGATGTCATTGAGTTGACATACATACCATTCTCATAATCTCTGGCATGCTTAAGCCCATTGAGTTGGTCTATCTTGTTGAGGGGCTTTCTCTTTTTTTTCTGTCCCTCCACTTAAGAAGGTAACTTAGTTGTGGATATATACGATCATGTAGGTGCTGACTCAAAGTACAACAGAATGAAAGCCTATGTTGCGGCATCCTTATAATCATTGCTCCACTTAAGCTCATTGTTACAGTCACTACATCATTCCATCTCACTGAGGAACTTTTTCTCCTTTATTGACTCTCTGCTTTTTAAAGTATCATATCACTTTCTGTAGACCTGTCTTCTGTTAACATGCCTAAAGTATATGAGACAAAGCCTCACCATCCTTACCTATAAGGAACATTCTGGTTTGTCTTCTTTCAAGACAGATATGCTCACTTTTGGTTCACCTCCATCTTCAAGATGACATCTATACTTTTCAATAGTTTAATGAGGTCCTTGGCATCAGATTTATGCAATCTAGATACTCGATTATGCTAGCAGATGACACAACTTTGCTTACTGAAAGTGAAAAGGACTTGAAACACTTGCAGCAGAAGTTCAAACTCTGCAGTCTTTCATATTAATTGTGTCTCAATATCAATAAAACAAAAATCCTCTCCACTCACCTGACAGACAACATCATGATAGATGGAGAAAAGATTGAAATTGTCAACGATTTCATCTTACTTGGATCCACAATCAATACACTTGGTACCAGAAGTCAGATCAGGAAACATATTGCACTGGGAAAATCTTCAATTAGGGACATCTCCAAATTACTGAGAAGCAATGATATTAGTTTGAAGACTAAGATGTGCTTCATTCAGAATCACTTGCTATGCATCTGAGAGCTGGACAATGTATAAAGATTATTGTTGTTGTGTACCGTGGAGTTGGAGCTGACCCATAGCTGACCCTCCGGTGGGTTTTCAGAGGCAGTTAATTGCACAGGAGGTGACTGCCCATCCTTCTCCTGAGAAGCAGCTGTTGGCCTTGAACCACATGCCTTTGGGATTGCAGTGCAGTTCCTTATGATGTCCTTGAACTATAGTGTTGGAGGAGAGTACTGAATATCCCATGGACTACAAAGAACAAATAGATACATTTTGGAGAAGGGGCAACAAAAGCTCTTTGAAAGTAAGGATGGTAACTTTTCATCTTACATAACTTTGGACATGTTGCTCAGAGAGACTGTTTCTTGGAGAAGGACATCATGCTCGGAAAGGTGGAGGGATGGCAAAAGAGAAGAAGACCCTCATGCCGGTGAATTGACACAGTGACTGTAGCAATGGACTCGAAGTTGTCAGAAAGTGAGGCTGGCTCAGGATGGGACAGGATTCAGATGTATTATTCATTGGGTTGCTATCAGTCATACTTGACTGGACAGCACCTAACAACAACAACATTATGCAGCACTCTTCTGTTTTGCACATTAATTGCTATAGTCTGGAGAAGGACACTACAGTCCTGGTGAAAAAGATGTTTCTGTTTCAATACAGATGCTTGGATTTGAGTAGAGGACATGTATTCTTCTCCTCTTGTCTAGTATAAGAACTTCTGGATGTTAGATCATGAAAGGTTCTATGTGTTTAGTCTACATGAGTAAAACATATATACTTTACTCATCTTCAGATACTCAGGATTTTACTTAGCGCTCAGCATATAGAAAGTTTTCCAAATTTGTTGTTAAACTGAATAAATGTAATTGATGATCAACAACTTAGCACACTGTGCTTAATCTTATTAGATCACAAAACAAACTATTGAAATCTCACATTTATGGGCCCCTCTTTGCAGATCTTCCAGTCAGTTGGCCAGGTAGATGTCTTCCAAATTTTCTGGCACACACTGGTAAGGACAACCAGGACCTACATCTGTTAGTTGCAACATGTCAAGTGGTATCCCATTAATTCCTGAGGCCTTGAGTTTTTTCCATTGCTTGGAACATAGGTTGGACTTCTTCTGTCATCACTATTGGCTCTTTATCATATGCTATAAATGATCCAGGAAGTATTAAAAGAAGATGGAAGGAATATATGGAGTCATTATATAGAAAGGAATTGGCAGATACAGAGGAATTTAAAGAAA